AAAATTTAAATAATGAATAGTTTGACAAATAAATTATTAATTTTATTTTTATTATTTACATTTTTATTATATTTCTTAGTTATATTAATTACACAGGAAGGATGTTCATTAATAGATACTTGTCATGTATTTATAATCAATTATTATATATACTCATTATTTGTGTTAATTATATATTATATTATTAATAGATATAAAGAATAATTAAATAGAATCGGGATGGAGATACTTGTAATTTATAATTCAATTAATATTCATATTAAAACTTGACTTTTTTGTTAAATCATTATTCTTAAATCTTTTGAAATTTCAGAATTAACTTTTTTTATTATTATGATATATTGAAGATAGAATTGACAAGTTATGACAATGACATAAATTATGATGATGCTTACCAACCAATCTTTAGACACACCATCCAAATAATACCAATCAAGAATATAGATGTTAGTCACAACTTTTGATGGTGGTTGCAATAACCTTTGTGATCATAATAACCTTTGTGATTGTAATAACCTTTGTGATTGTAATAACCTTTGTGATCATAATAACCTTTGTGATCGTAATAATCTTTGTGATTGTAATAACCTTTGTGATCGTTTTGCTTTCTTAATATGGAGAACAATATGAATTATTGTCATGAAATTGCGCAATAAAAAGTAATAAAAATATACATTTTATATTATATATATATTTTTTGAAAATTCCATTAAGTGAGTCATCTTTATGGTACTAATGAAGTCTAAAGAACAAGGTTCACTTTGGTTTATTGACTATTGTAATCAGCATAAAGTTGCCTTGTTGAAAAGAATCAATGTTTTTAGTGTAAATTTTCGTGTGTATTTTGACCCACTATTATGAGTTCAAAAAGTGGCTTTATTTTAAATAAAAGGTGCCAAAATATTTATTGAAACTTCAAGAAAATTTTTTATATATATCATTTTTTTAATCTATTAAGAAGTTTATGTGTTATAAATGTTAAAAGAAAATTTTGGCATTCAAGTGAATGTTACACACACTAATTAAAAAAAAGAGAAAGGATTTGCACACTGACTGATAATGGTCTCTCTCTATAATGGCCTTTTTTTGCCAAAACAGACAGGTCATTATAGAGAGAGTGAACTGTAGATCTATAGAGTTTTTCACTCTATCTCATTTGATTATAAAGTTTTTCTATTAGTAATCTTTTTTCAATTTCTTTAGAACATATTAAAAAAAATTTTATTTGGCAAGAAAAAAAACTCTCTATAGCTTAAAAGCTTGATTTATTTTCTATGATTTCCCTTGGTCTCATGTTTGTATCTCTTTAGTTGAAGGCTCTGATACAATTTTTATTTAAATAGTTTTTATATACAGTGTGTTAAGAAAAAAATTGGCCTCCGTTTTTTTATTGTAGTTTTATATAGAATGTTTTAATTTTAAAATGAGATAGCTTGTTTAAAAGCCAAAAAGCAAGGCTTTTGACAATATAAAGAATAAAATTTATTAATAATTAATTCATTCACCATTGCTATCAATTACAAGTTGACAGCGGTTATGCATTGACCCAATAAGATTAGTCAAAAATTCATCCGGAATATTTTCCCACTCTTCTGTCATATATTGTTGTAATTCACTAATATTATTTGGCATACACTTCTCTACATGATGCTTAACAATTCCCCACAGGTTTTCAATAGGATTGAGGTCTGGACTGTTAGATGGCCAGTCCATAACCTTGGGGAAGTTTTCTTTTAAAAACTCCTTAGCAACCCAACTAGTGTGCTTTGGGTCATTATCCTGTTGAAATCTCCACCTCCTTCCAAACATCCTTCTAACTTCTGGAAGATGCTGCTGTAAAATCTCTATATAAAATTTAGCATCCATGATCCCTGTGAAGCAATGTAAAGTGGTTTTGCCTTTAGCACAAAATCCACCCCAGGTGAAAATTTTTTGCCAATTCTTGGGAAGAGGTCTAATTGGTCTAGGGCCCTTATACCACTGTGATATTGTATTTCTAAATAACTGAAAGGCTGTTTCATCAGAAAATAAGGTCTTTTCCCATTGATCATTCAAGTGATTTGTGGCCCATTCAACTCACTTTGCTTTCTGGACCGCAGTGAGCATTGGTGTACCATTTGGAAGACTATTTTTGTAACCAAGCTCCTTTAATCGTGCTCCAACTGTTACATGGGACACTTTAACTCCATCCTTGGACAATTTAGTAGCCAAGGTTCACAAAGATAGGGAACTGTCTTCGCGAATGTACTGCTCGGGGTCACGTGATTCACGTAAACCTATCTTTTTGGAATGACCATTGCTTTGTCTATGTGCAACATCTCCAGTTTTTTTTAATTTTTGGATATTATACTTGATTGTTGAGAGGGGATATTAGTAATTTTGTGGAGTTCCTTTTGAGATCGGACTCCATTATTCCAAAAATGTACAAGAGTTTGGTGTTGAGAATTTAACTTGTTTGCAGTCATTTTTAAAGCACAAAAAACGATGTTTAAAAGGTTATAAATTTAATTAAAACTAAGTTACAGAGTCAATTATTATTGTCTAAAATGATTTGTTATGATTTATTTAATTAATATGGAAATTATGCATTTTAAATTTTATATCTCCGGAGGCCAATTTTTTTCTTAACACACTGTATATTCTTATTTTTTTAAAAAAAAAGTTTGTTATTGATTGACATTATGTTACATTGCCCCCAATATGTTATGTGGAAAATTTTAAAATTAATTTGTGTTACCATAAAAATGGGTCTACCCTGTTTTACCAATACCGTTTTATCAACAGGACATTTTACCAACAAGACGTTTTACCAACAGGGAATTTTACCAACAAGATGTTTTACCAACAGGGGATTTTACAGACAGGACGTTTTTAATACATTCTATCAGTTTAGCATAACATTCCTTTGTTTTTTTACCATAACCATATCATGTTATTATCATTATCCATTAAGAAATGGCATATACCTGGTGACATTAACTGATTAGCTGACTAATAAATGGTTTAACAGCTTAACTGGCTAATAAATGACTTAACATAATTAAACAGATTAACCTGTTAATAAATGACTTAACATAATTAAACAGCTTAACTGGCTAATAAATGACATAACAGACTTAAACATAGTGTTGGCAAATCTGTCCAAATGTCCAAATTGTGTCCAATATCTGGATCCAAATGTCCAATTAGTATTTGGAATTGGACATGGTGTAACAAAGTCACATTGGAATACACAGTGAATTTCGATTTAGCAGATCTTGATTTAGTGGATACTAATTAAAAATCTCAGTTTTACAGATAAAGTTCAAAGAACAGTTTCATAATAAACCTTAATAAAAACCTTGATATAGTGGATATCTCAGTTTAACAGATTTTTGGAAAATTTTCCCCAATTGCCCAAACTATCTGTAAATTGAGATTCACTGTGTATTGGACAGTTCAATTTGTGACCAAATTACTATATTAGGACAAATTGGATGCTTGCTGTTTTATCCAATGATTATGTTTAAAAGATGCACCATTCAAAATTTTTCCAGAAAGAGCCTTCCTATTTGGATTCAACCATTTGAAAAGGGAATTTACTTCTTCACTTTCAATCCACCTGAAAGCCAAACCATTAGATACAGTTACGTGGGGCGTTTGAAAAGTTTTGTCACTGGCTCTGTAAAATGACAATCTTATGTGTAACTTTGTACAGATTTTT